CATCATTTGTCATTTTTTTTAGCCTACTATAAAGAGTGGGTCGTGAAATGTAAATTGTCGGTTCAGCAACTACGGACTTTTTAGATTATCAGGCGCGCCAACTTCACGCTTCGTTACCATACACTGCTACTTTTAAGTTGCTAGCCAAAACGAGAAATCACGTGAACTTTGTTTTCGTCGTCTTCCGTTTGCTTCCCTCTGCTCGAACTCGCTTCAAATGACTCTCAAGCCTGGCTATTGACGAAATTTTTCCTGAATTGTTGTTATGTAGTACAGCAGGCATGCAATGAGAATTCTTTTAGACAGGCTTTTGTTAACAATTAAATCACTTGCTCGAGAAATTAGCATTCGCGTTGTTGAAGTTTAAAGCCGTGTAATCTTACGTTATTATATATGTATGGAATTTTTTTATTTATCTTAAGGACAGAGGGGTACCATGTTTAGTATTTTTATCTGTGACACGCAAAACTGTAATAATTATTGCTTAACCCTCGACAGGCCTCAGCGAAACCAACGCCATCAGACATTTTTTAGATTCCAATTTCTCGACGCGGGTCTTGTTGAACTTTTTGAAAATATTATCGTTAAAACGTTTCACATACTCTCTTAATTTAACTCACGAACAGGAGGAACAAAAAAAAAAAAAGAGAAATACTGATTATTTTTCTGGCAAGACCTGGCGAAATTTAGGGGAGCAGTTTTTTTAATCTTTTTTGTAAACAAGAGAACAAGAGATGAATCAGACACCACTCCTGAATATCTTTTAGCGCCGTTTTCAAAATACTGCTTCCATAATAAGCGCAGCATGACAGCTGTCATTCTTTACGGTCTGTTATTCATGCCCCAGAGTTAAAATATTTATACGAGCGGCCTCCCACTCAGTCGTTAAGTACACACGAGGGACCTTAAGATAGCAGGACGGGAGGAACCAGGACGGCTACCGGAAGTAAATTCGCATTAGCAAGCATGCGCACGAGAGCTCCTGTATCGCGTGTTTGCCGTCGTAGTCTCGTCGACGACGCCATTTAATGAGTTCCGCCGTCGTGGCGAGAACGTGAGTATTTTGTATCTTGTTTTGGCTTGAAAAACGTTGTAGCTGATTTTATTTTCAGATATACTGATGGTGATGTTTATAAACATCTTATTTTTAGTGTTTTTATTGTAAATGACTTCAAATAGGAAAAAAATGTTTTTAAATGTATTCATTGTGTATTTGTTTGTTGTTTCAGTCGCCACTACGGAAGCTCCCGCGCAAACGTTAACGACTGCGAAGGAAAGTAAATCAGTGTAAATATGAAAAGTTGAAGAATTCTTATAGTAATCAAATGGTCATATCGATTGGAGAGAAGAAAACAGAAGGATGAACTGATGTTAAGTAAAATTTAGACAACTCGATAATTGTTGTTTATCTCTTGTTGAGTTGTACTGTAATTAAACATTTCAGTCCGGATTCACATATTCCGTTTTATTCAAGAATTTATTTTGATTATGATCTTCAGGAAGCCAACGGTGTAGAATACTTTACACGACGAGATGTTGTGCGGAGAAATATTGGTTGTAGATCCCTTTACTGGGACGAAAAAGGGTACAGTGGAAAGAAGAACTGAGTGGGAAGAGGTCGCCGAAGACTTAAAACAAAATTCAGCAAGTGTTTAAGTTGACAAACGGGCAGTCTGAGATCATTACAACCTCCTCCAAGTCGAACATTTCGTACTCTTCGTATAGAAATTCTGGATTCTTCGTGAAGTTTCCTTCATACATCGTTATAGCTTTCCAGGAGAAGATTCCTAGCGTCTTTAAAGGATGCCATTGCTGTTATAAAGCGAAAAATACACGAAAATACCACCCGCTTAAGTATTTTGTTTTTGGCGGGCACGACGGGACTCGTCCCAGTCTTACTCTTCCAGTGCCGTCGCCGTCCTAGCTTCCCGTCCTGGTATCTTAAGGTCCCTATTGTTATTTTACAACGCGATCAAGAATCCTTCTTCACTTACACTGAAAAAAAATATCTTATGGGGTTGATTTATAGTTAGTATCACTAGTGTGAAGATTTGAATCATTCTCAGCTTCGGCAAAGTGAGAATATTAAACCACAAGCTGGCGATGTTCATCGCTGCAGGGAAAAAATTGCATAACTTGATATGAAAAAATGCATAACTTGATATGAAGCCACCGTCCCTTGCGTATCGAGACTCCGGTTTTCGTTTTTAAGAAGCAGCGAGAGGCTGAGTACCGAGGCCAAACAACAGATCAGTTGCTGCCACACAACGATACAAGAGTTTGAACGGTGGATGGAGGGATGATTCCTTTTTAAGGGCAAGAGAATTGAATTGAATTTAATTTAAATATTAATTTCCTGATCCTATCCCAATACATTAAGCTATTAATGGGAATAGACCGAGTGGAGTCCAATTCGGTCTGTAATCACGAGTATGATTACAAACAGAATTGGATGATTTAAGGTCCTGTTACTAATTCATCAAAACTATGACAAAATTTGAGGAAGCAACTAGACATCGGCCATACGTTTTCATAAAAACAACAGCAACAACAATAACAACAGTTGACACGGCGAAGTATTAGACAAAAGCGCGCGCACATGACGCGTTCTGTCGAGATGACTTGTTAACTGTCCTTTTAACTGTCCTACTGTATTGTCCAATTTCAAGGCTCTTATTTGTTGAAGAAGACACATTATTAGGCTATTGTTTTCATTGTTTTCTTATTCCCGGTTGTGATGAAATGCTATTGTGACGTTCCTGTGTCTTCTACACCAAGTTAGAGCCAATTTCAAGCATGACGCGTACACTGTCCTATTAGCACTAAAAGTGGGTTTGTGATCACAAATCACGCTCGAGAATTTTGTTACAGTTCTGATTAATGGATGAATTGTATTCATACAAGCAGAATGTTCGCAAAAAGACGCGACTTTCAAAGATGCATCATTGATCAGACTATGTCTTCGTTACATGTGGGTGATAGTCTGCTTTTGAAAACACGATACATGACGCGCACACATGAAACAGGCTAGCAGTCTGTGAAAATTCTATGTTGTCATAAAACTTGGTATTTTTTTCTGCGGGAGTTCCTGGGTGCGCTTTGCATTACTATTGCTCATATCAGGAATCCTTTCTTAATTAACAAGACGGCTAAAGGCGATTCCGTGTGATGCGTTGGCTACTGGGTGTAACCTTGGAAGAAATAGTGCAGTTACAGAAAACCACTTTGATTAGTCAATTAGATCAGCCCAAGAAATCATTGTGGGAAATTTTTGGAGTCTTTGTCGCTTCTGATCACTCCACTCGAAAACATAAAAATCGATTAAAAAAATTACGCTTCCCTGTTGGCTAGCTCTGAAATTTGTCTACGGAATGAAAAAGAAACGCAGCCGAATTTTTACCTTGATATGCCATAGGCATCTTACGGAATAAGCAATTCTGTGAAATTTCATCCTTTGTTTATAACTTTAAAGCTAATCCTAAGGTAAGCCAAACCATGAGCATTTGCATGAGCATATAAAACATCATGAACTATACACTGGCCCTCTTCCCATAGGGGAAACTATATCCCTGGTTATTTAGAATAAAGGGGAAGTGTTATCGCTAAACTAGGGTGTGCGGCAAAACCGATCGTGTTCAGTTCCCGGTAAAGATAAACATAGGTATGAATTTGCATTTTGATCGAGGGAAAATGTGGAGACATCTGTAGCAGTGTTATTTCATAGTGCGATCAATGTTTTCTTTGGGCAAACAGCAATTGACGAGAACGAATATTTTAAAGAATAAATATAGAGTTTAATCCTGAATTTTTCAAAAGTGATTCTGTCAGTTGCAGACGTTAGAGATCAAAACTTACCCGTGGTAGATGCAGGCTGAAACGTTTATTATGATGCAGAAAATTGACGATTTCCCAATATATTGCCCTTTTTAAAATATTTCTTTTTTTTTTTGAACGATACCAAGTGACTTTAACAATGATCTTATCTAACGATAAACTTTACCTCTATTTCTTTATGATAGATTAACAACAGACTTTCAAATGCCGACTCAAAAAAATGATGATAAGAATTTTAATTATTTTGATGATAACACATGTGGCAGGTGAATAAGAGCGTCTTTCATTCTTTCTATGCGTGACAAAATCCAAAAAATACAAAAAGAATAATATCAGAAACTTTGTGTTTAATTTCGATTTTCTTTTTTCGCATTCAAAGTCACCCTCGGGCAAACAATTGACTTTAGCACAAGCAAAGACTAATTTTATTTTAAACGTGGAATTTATTAAGTTTGGCAGCTAACAGAGCAACATTCTCTCATGTTTTCTTAAACATTACGATTTATTTCCCAGTAATAATAGGAAATTTGAGGCCATAGCTTTTTGGCTGACACGGCAGCTTCTGTTTACATGCGGTAGAGCGAAAGGCGTTTTCTTAGGATATTGTCATAATTTTCAGAAATACTTTCCCATGACAGACAAAGTTAGACATAGAAATAAGCAGCCACTGAAATCCCACGAACCATCTGTAATTAGAAAAATTTTGCATGTTCTTGGTTATGAGTGTCGTTTTGTTAAAAGTGTGATTGAAAGCAAGAAATTAAATACAGAATTACTGACACATTTTCCCTGTCCTTCAGATGTTCCTCTGGTCTAGTTATCATTATTAGAGTTTTCATGATCAAACGAACGAAGCTTGTGTGGTATCTGTTGATCTTATTGTTCTTCGTACGCAAACTGAGACTTGCACCCATTCCCTCTCTTCTGAAAACCATAGTAAAATAAATTACCTTCATAAACTTAAATGCATTCTCTTTCTCTATGATATGGGGGCTTATTTCAGTGAAGTTTTTTTTTTGTTAGCCTTACAGTTGTACCCAACTTATAGTTTGAATCATCACTACTAATCCACCCTTTTTATCCGGTAACCAATACTCTCCTTCTCCTCTGACAATCCAAATTTGGTCAACTGATCTTTGTTTTTGGATATCCAACCGTCGAATCATCTAGATCCATGAGAAGCAAGATGCCTGCCTAATTGTCTGCTTTACCGCTTGCTTTACTTCACTGATCGTCCAGCAGTACAGAAACGGGTTTAAAGTAGAGTTAAAGAAAGCAAACACCGTCACTATTCCTTTGATGGAATGTGATGGATATGACTTTCTGAAATGAAGCGTGATAACCATTACACTATATGGTACATAACAAATAACAAATGCTAACTGCACCCACAGCGCACTGTACACTGCCTTTCTGTATCGCGCCATATTCAGTGCATTTGATTGGCTCGGCTGTTGTTGATCATGTACTTGAGCCTGTCGATGACTAAGAGTGAGGAAAATCTTTGAGTGCGCGATGATTGAGATTAGTAGGCAAGATGAAATAATGAAACAGCCACACGAAAAGGTTATGCGGTAATCTAGCAAATAACATAAAGCACCGACGCTACATACAATCCAAAAGATGGCTTCAATGATATATGTGCGCTTCAACGTTACAATTTGTCTGTATCTCAGCCCTAATAACAGGGCGAGAAGTCTATCTAAGCTTATGGCCGCCATTGTAAACAGAGAAACTCCACACAATGTGTAGCCTGTTACGCAAACGGTATCAATTGCGTATCGACAAAGACTCCAGTTTTCGTAAACCAAGGACATCCAATAAGTAGCATAGAGAGGCTGGCTAACAAGACCTACCAACAGATCAGTTATTGCCAGACAACGATACAAGAGTTTGGATGGCGGATGAAGGGAAGATTCTTTGTGAAGTGCAACAAGGATGAAAGAATTTCCAAGAAATGCCGTGATGGAGAAAAAAATATTAACTGCTGAGAAACATTTTGATTGTTGTTGTAATCCACTAGCAAAAGATGGAGAACATGCCAGTTCTCTAAATGTTTTCGCCTGAGTTACACCGGCTGTTGCGTTTGTTGTGGCCATAATTGTAGTGTCGTTTTCTTTTTGCCTGCCGTTTATCGGTGACTTGCAAGAAATGTTACTAAAACGAGGAACGGGGAACGGGGAAAGGTGAACGGAGAACGGAGAACGGAGAACGGAGAACGAGGAACGGGTAACGGGCAACGAGCAACGGGCAACGGGCAACGGGCAACGGGAAACGGGCAACGGGTGACGGGCAAAGGAGAACGGCCAACGGGCAACGAGAAAGGGGAAATGGGGAACAGAGAACGGGGAACAGAGCGCTATCTCAACTCGGTCGTCAGAGCAAGCATCACAGATGACGAAAGAAATTTTCCATCTCGATCTTTTATTTCAAAATTTATTTCTATTCTGATAAAGATTGCAAGCGCTATAGAAATCGGATCATCGGAAGGGCAAGTATCCGAGAGTCTATCGTGGGCTACTAAACATTTCAACGATCAAATATGAAATGTAACCACATTGCATATTTTTTCAAAACTCCTCCCAATGATCTTACAACAACGTCATGAAGGTTCATTTTTCATCTGTTGCTGTTTTCTAAGATGACATCAATACTTTTATAAATCCAGCGATTATGAATAACTTTGACGTGCGTTTGCACCACGCATAAAACGTCCTTGTTCATATGAATTGATGCAGACACAATGTTCTGAAGAGGCACCAGCCTTGCAGAGTAGAAACAAGTACCTCCTTAAATAAGACCTTGCGATTCGTGCCACTAGAAGACATCAACATGAAGGTAAAGATGGGAAAAGCATCTAAAGGTTGTATCTAAAATTCATATCTACAGTAATGTTTATGTGACATAAATTGCTTTACCGCCTTTAAGTTTCTGACTCGCATTTCTCCAAAGACCTAACTTTTACTGCACCTGTAATTTATATCAGAGTAAGCAATATTTTTGTAGTGAAAAATCGCGCAAAACTCTCTATCGCCCATCGCTTAACGATTGCTCTGAGGACGGTATTTCGAAGCACGCTTGCTCAAAGCTGGTGTTCAGACCCTTTTTGTGTGTTGACTTCCGTCATTTTAAACTGTTATGCGGATTGCCGCTGTACTTTCTACCCCCGTCTTCCGTTCCCCTTTCCCCGTTCCTGGTTTTTATAACATAATTTTGCGTGTGCCTCAGGTTACAATAACAAAAGCAAGGCAAGCATGGAGACAAATGTGTAGTTATAACTTCATAGACAGACATCTGTTTAATTACCATTTCATGGCGCCACAAATTGTCCTTTTTCACCCAGACAAACCATACAAAATAAGATAAGATGCCGTTATGTAAAGTTGAGACTTGAATCATTCTCATTTCCGGGAAACCGAAGATAAAATTTCTAGCCAACGTTTTCAATCGGTCCAAGAAACTGACGCGAGACAAACATGTGAAGACATCTGTGGCATTCTTACCTCACAGTATGAGTAAAAAGATCTTAGGGCAAACTGCATTTGATAAAAATTATTTATTCTACTTTTTTCTCTTAATAGATAGAGAGTTTAATCCGTACAAATTTGAAAACTTATCTCTGTCAATTGCAAACATAAGAAATTAAAACTTGCCAGAGAAAGTCCAGGATGAAACTGTTGCTGGTATGGAAAATTCTTAGAACTTGGTAATCTCCAAATACATAGCATTTGTAAAATACTCTGTTTTCAAAGATTCCAAGATAATTTAAACAATTCCATTATTTATTAATAAACTCCATCTTTTTTTCCTTAAGAGTGAGAATCTGACTTGCAAATGCCAAGATAAAAATAGGAAGAAAATAATTTTAATTTTGATGAGGAAAATAATTTTTAAACATATGGCAGGTGATTGCGGCTTTTTATTTATTTATGCGTTATAAGATTCAAGAATATTTACAGACATTGAAAGTGACTATGTTCAATTCCGTTTTCTCTTTTTTATGCATTCAAATTCATCTCGGGGAAACAATTGACATGCGCGAGTGTCACAGAACCAGCTATGATCAATTTTATTTCCAACGTTGACTGTAATTTTGCCTAACAGCTAAAGGAACAAACATATTCACAGTTAAGCATTATATTTCGTAAATAATAATACCAAATTCGAGGCCATGACCATATCGCTGACACGGCGGCTCCTGTATACATGCAGCAACGCGAAAAACGTTTGACTTATTTGAAATAGCGAGTTTTGTTTTGATTGTGAGCAGTTTTTTTGCTGCTTTATGAGTGTAAAGAAGAAACACGGAATTGCGGAGACATTTTTCTGTGTCCTCCGATGGTCCTCGCCGATCAAGTAATTAGCATGAATTTTATTCTACGCTTGCATTTTGCTAAAATCGTGAAACATAAATTAACTGAAACTGATACAATTATTTACTTAAGAATCGGCGAAAATGGTAAATATTTAACTAGCAGCTTCGCGGTTCGGTAAATATTCTAGGTGAACAATTGTTAACAATACAGGGAAGTATCCTACGAGCGATTACTTGGAGCAACTGTAACTTATAAAGTTTGGTTTGGAATAAAAAAAATTAAAAATTACTCGAATAGAATCTAACGCCATAGACAACAAAGCGCTTGTCTGATTGTCTGCCTTACTGCTCGTCTTATCTCAGAAATCTTCCAGCAATAAAGGAACGGATTTAAAGTGGAGTTAAAGTAAACTAAGATGATTGCTATTTCTCTACTAACTGCTGAATGGGATGAATAGGTTTTTCTATGACTGATCACAATTTCCATTATACCATAGGGCAAATAACAAACAACTAATGCTAACTGCACCCACAGTGCACTGTACACTGCCTTTCTGTATTGCGCCATGTTCAGTGCATTTGGTTGGCTCGGCTGTTGTTGAACATGATCTTGTACCTGAGTCTGGTGATGACTGAGAGTGCGGAAAATCTTTGTGTAAGAACCAACTGAAATTACAAGGCAAGACGGTATAAAAATACGGCCAACCCAAATGGTAGAACTGTTGTTCCAAATGAAGAATGATGCAGCGACATTACATACAATCCAAAAGGTAGCTATAATGACATATGTGCGCTTCAAAGTTACTTTTTGTCTGTATCTCAGCCCCAATAACAGAGCGAGAAGTCTGTCCACGCTTATGGCCGTCATCGTAGACAAAGACACTCCGCATAATGCATAGCTTGTTATGTAAGCTGCGTCCCTTGCGTATGGACAAAGACTCCAGTGTTCCTGAACCAAGGACATCCAATAAGAAACATGGCAAGGCTGGCTGACAAGACCAACCAAAAGATCAGTTACTGCTAGACAACGATACAAGAGTTTAGAAGGTGGATGGAGGGACGATTCCTTGTGAAGGGCAACAAGGATGATTGAATTGCCAAGAAATGCTGTGATGGAGAGGACAATGTTGAATATAGCGTAATAAATTGGTTGTTGCTGTACCTCACTGACTAGAGAGAGGGAACATTCCAGTTCTTGAAATGTTGTTTTCTGAGTTCCATCTTCTGTTAAATGTTTTGGCGCCATAATTCTGCTGTTTATTCCTTTTTCACCCGCAGTTTATCCGAGTATATATATTGTTATATTGTATATTAAAACAGTGGATGTCGATGAAGGCGCGTTCTGATTGGCTACTCAAACTCCGAAAATTCTTTTCAATTTACCTACGAGCAGCATACGCGGAATTTTTGCCCGAATATTTTGTGATCGAAATAAATGAGTTATAATCATCTTTTTGTACAATATCGTCTCATTGTTTCAGCATATGGAAAAAAAAAATTTTCCATCACAAGTCACCTCCACTTCGGTAAATAGTTGATAATTAACAACACACGTCCGACGAAGATTACCTTAAGCTTGTAAATATTAATGTATTGAAATAATTTCATTAAAGCTTCCTAAGTGGACTTCATGCATCTGAAATGCACCAGTCAAAATAAAAAAAAAATGTTCAATTATATAGAAAATCATAGCTCACGTACACGTTCTAACGAGCATTGCACTCCTCGGTGTACCGTGCTCAAAAAAGGATTTTTGCTCTCGTTGATGTCGTTAAAGCGGACGTGTGTAGGGCAAGACGGTTTGACGTGAGCTGGTCAGGAGAAAGCCGTCCGGCCCCGCACAACGACAGCTTTGTTTACTATATTATTTATTTATGATCCATTTCCAAACTTTCCCTTTCAGCTGCTATACATTTTCGTCCATTAAAATTTGGTGTTGCATCATTCCCTTTTTGTATCAACTCTTTGCTGAATAATTCGTTGATTTTTTAGAGGGAAGTTAAATGTAGAACACATCTAAGGGGGTTAAAAAAAGTGAGCACTTTGTAGCATTATGGTGGAACTGTTTAAATTTAACTATCTGCCCTTAAACACAGTTCTTGATCGTAATTATCTTAGCTTCAGACCAAAACATTATTAGGAAGATATATATTTGTCCTATAATAATTATATGAAGGGAAATAATGTGGCTACAGTTAACTTCCGAAAGTTTTCTCCCTCGAATGAATCAGATCATACTACAGCGTTATCATCAGCTACACAGAAACATCATTTATTAGCAATGAAAACCTTGGGGTTGATCGAGCTATTTTTAGAATTTTGATGTCACGACTGATGAAACCAAAACTGAAGACACTGAAATTATATTTTTCTCCAAGTCAAAGAGTATGCAAATAGCGTGGGGACAAGATATAAAATTGATTGGTTCGTCGGTGTTCGTTAAACCTCGACTGCCGCACTACTAGTTGTCGTCTGTCTTCTTTACGTTTCGCCAGCTAGTCTTCGTCGGTCTTCGTTAAGTCCCGACAGATATACTGCTAGTCTTCGTCAGTCTTCGTCACGTTTCGTCAGCTATAGTGCAAGTCTTCGTCGGTTTTTTCCCTCAATTCCCGACAGCGATATTGCTAATCTAAGGCAGTCTTCGTGAAATCTCGACAGCCAGATTGTTAGTTTTTGTTAGCCTTCGACAAGTTAACAAGTCGCTCAAAATGAACTTAAGGTTATATCCTAAAAAAAGAGAAAAACAAGAAAAAAATTGGAACAAATTATAATTATGAGGCTTTTTGTTACTGACTGGAACCTTTTGTTTTTCAACATGCGGCTGTATTAACTCTCTATCGTAATCAAAATCTCCGTATGACGCGGGATACTCCTTTGTCGTGGTACAAGTTTGCTCTTGCGCCCTAAATTAGCAGTTTACGGCATTTATTCCGATGAAACAGGCTAAATTGTAAACATCAATCTTGATTTAATTACAAAAGAAAATTCCTTTGGCAAAGTTAAAGGGTATATGACAACTGAAGCCAATTATTTGTTTTCAGTTTGTTTTCTATTAGATTATAGAGATTTTTCCTGCTAACTCACAGCATACTGAGGCTAATGGAAGCATCATTGCTAAAAAAAAAAGAAGAAAAGCTTTCATCATGGTTTAAATTCCATTTCCTTCCACGTGAAATTAAATCAGCTTTCATTTCCTTCTACGAAGATAATATCCACAAACTATTATCCATTTCAAATACACCTGCCTCAAGGAGATAAAAATATCGAATGCCAGTTTGGGGACAGAAATAACGCATATTTTACAAGAAGTTTGATACGTAACAGAGTTTTTAACAGTAAGCGGTTTTGTTTGACACCATCCACATGGAGAAGAATAAGGAAATTACTTTTGTTGTTTTTTGGAGGTGAGTTTCGCTGCGATCTGAGGAAGTAACCTTCCCCCTGGACGGATCTTAACGCCAATTTTGTGCGAAAGGAAGATGTTTCGTTGACATGTTTTGAAAGCCAAATGATACAGGTTAGTTTTTGTTACAAAATTCGTTCAAGGTTTCGCGCCTCAATTCAGCGAAAAAAATTCGCTTTGGTCGTCAAACTTAAAGTAAAATTCCGGGTTGAAATTGTTGCAAATTTAAAAAAAAGTGATTGGAGATGCGTTTAATGTTATTGCAAAGACTACAATTTACCCAAAGATTATCATAACGAATTATTCAGAGTATCTGTATTTTACACCAAAGCGCACAGTCGTTTCATTTGTGAATTGTATCCGTAGTAAAAATCATTCAAAATGATTGTTTCTATAGCTACTATACTGTTGAAGACAGCTTAACTCGAACGTGTACGAAATAAAAACATGCGTGCTGTCCTCGCGCGCTATCGTTTTCACGCGCAGCTTCAAAACTCTTGCTCGTTTGATACTTTTTAGCGCCCGTTAAAGTGTAACGCAAAATGAGAAATACATATTTTGCACGTCTTACTTGTCTAGGTGCAGCAGTTAAATTCATTCTGTCAAATGTTTGTTCAAAAAAAGGTTTCTTCCTATTAAATTAGTTATTTACAAATCTTGACGTTAGATCGCGAGGAGGAAAAAAGATGGCTATAGCTGCATTTAAAACTTGTTTTCAAGAAATTCTGCCTCGTAAACAACTCTTAATAACCGAGTTTGAGGTCGGTACTGTAAGTCAAGGACCGATATTTTGTCGCTCGGATTTCAAGTATGGCCCAAGTGCGAACAGAATAATACGAGGTTCCGTGATTTACACTTCAGACTGAGAAAACGAAGCTAGTAAAATATTTGTTATATCTTTCCGTTTAAGATTACAATTTAAACAAAATTTTGTATTTAGTGGGCTGTACAGTGAAATATGGCCCGCTAAGTTGACCGATCACAGCGCACGTTCTAACTTAGAGATATAATAAAGTTGATTATAGCCAGCATGTTATTAAAAATATGTAAACTTGACTTTGCAAATGAGGTTTATAACCGAAGTGTTAAAAACTACTTTTATACGAGAAAGCTTTCTTGACAATTTTCGTGAAGTTCTTAATTTGCTTTTCCCTGACAAGTTCATCCTTGTCGAGAAACTGTCATGCTATAAGATGGGGTTGACAATTTTCTCTCCAATCTGATGCAGCGCATACATTTTTCCTAACTTGTGTAATCGCCCAGGTAACATTGCTCCATACGTGTAAAAGCAGCTTTAATGTGAATCATAGGCTTCCTTCTAAATCCTTTTAAAACTGTTTTGAGGCAGTTAAAAACCGAGGGTTAATCTAAGGTGGCTCGCTCGTGCTTTGAGTGCTAGGATTACCATAGTAACCGTAGACTGCCTGCCTATCTTTGCATCTAGGAAAAATATGATTCAAAGCCTGTAGATTTGGAAAAATCGATCACAAGCCTCTAAGAAATAATTTCAGAGCTTTAATAGAAAACTGATTTGAAATACCGACATCGAGGAAAGTACAGAAAGAAACATAACAAGAATGTGAAAAAAATTTCTTAACGAAACGTTTTTGCCTCTTAACACTTTACCTCTCAGAAGTGATTAACATGTAACCTCTCCTTGTAAGATCCAGACATTAACTGACAAATTAAACACGTAAAGAAAATATTCAAACTTGTTAGCTGAAAAAAGATTTTATCTTGATCTCGCACCACAGTATACAAGGGAAGGTAAAGCAGCCAGAGAGAAGAATTAATAATCATATTTCAGGAGTTAACGGGTTAGGAAAACTTGTGTCACTTTAAAAAAAAAAATTGAAAATATTCAATTTGTCTGCTTATAAGTGGACTAAGTGGTTCTCAATTAATATTACAATGGCTAAGATGACGTTGTCATCACGTATGAATGTGATTGAAAGATGATGATAAATTTGCAATTAGCGAGTTTTCTTCTTTCAAAAGTTTTCCTCAGCCATTTCAATATGACGTGACTAGTTCTTCCACAACAACTTTCCTTGTAAAGAGCAAGATTCTCCAGTGCAAATGACCTTCTAAGGATATTTTTTAAAGAAGATTTACTAAAAAGCCGGAAAATTCTGGGAGAATCATACATCAGCAGGTTGTCCTGGACAATTTTTCTGTTCTAATTTGTCTCTAACAAACACGTTTTCGTTTTTGTATAGCCATTTGCCTTTAGGACATTAGAAACATATTTCCTCTCCTCAGCCTTCGAATCGAGTGAAGATGGTAAACAGTAAGCCTTCCTGAGTGCTAAAGGATACAAGCTCATGGTCTGTACTGGTTTTTCTTTTCTTAAGCTACGTTTTCGTTTAAAACAGCGCTTTTTTTATCAAATGCATTAAACACAGAGTTCTTTCAAGAGAGAAGTTGCCTTAGTCTTTTTTTCAGCGGATGCGCAATAAATTATCATGAAAAATTGAAGTCGTAAGCGGCACTGTTTCAATTCACGACTTTCATTGAGGCTATTGTGGAAAATCGTTTAAAAGCCTTCAAGAATAATTTTTATTATCTGACTCTTAGAGTGGTCTTCGTGATCAGTAATGACTTTTTCATTTGCGTCTTTTGTTTCACAAGTTTTTTGCAAAAGTTTTTCTCTAGGCGCTAATGGTCAATTTCTTACCTGAACCTGAGAGATACTTGTGATTTCAGGAAATCGCCTAATCTCGAATTTAGTTGTTATATGGGTGTAATATTCTCGGAAGCAACAGAGGTTCTTAAAAAGAATCGCAATTTAAAGGTTCACTTTTATAAAAGACTCGCTAACATGCTTCTATATTTCTGAAAAAATTTACCAGTTGTTTTTTCAGTAAGTTTCCTTTCTTTTTTCAAACAATTTTGTATGTGTTAGAAAAATATGACGTGTTATACACAAAGTTGTTTTTGATTCCTTTTGTCGACGGATTCACAGTTAATCATCACGAGAAATTGAAGAAGTAAAGCATTGTTTTAGTTCACGATACTTATAAATTTTAAGGCGAAAAAATTGTTTAAAAACCTGGAATTTTATTCTTCAAGAATAATTTTGCTCTAACTCTTAGAGTTATCTCCGTGATAAGTGATGACTTTTCCTTTGGTGTATTTTGTTTCACGAGTTTTTAACAAAAGTTTTTTACTAAACAGTGATGATCAATTTCTTTCTTTAACCTGAGAGATACTTGTGATTTCCAAAAATCGCTTAATCTTGATTTCTGTTCTTATATGGGTGTAATATTCTCGGAAGCTACAAAAGTTATTAAAAGGAATCGCACTGTGAAGGTACACTTTTATTACAAACTTGCTAACATTTCTCTGTATTTTCTCGACAAATATGTAAGTTCTTTTTCAGAAAGCTTTTTTTAGACAACTTTTATTACTTGTTAAATGAAACATATCACGTGCTATACACAAAGAATCGGCTTTCATTTGATGGAAATTCGTGTCTAAGAGCTCCTTAGTTTTCATTTTTGCTTCGATCTGAAAAATGCTTCCGTCTTGAAACAGAAAATGTTCGTGAAAAAATAGCTGACTATTTATTTTTTCACCAATAGATGCTATTCATTGTTTATTTGGCTCCAGTCTCATTAAAAGCAGGCTGTTAAGGAGTTTTAATTTTATATTTCTTTGAAAAGCACGACAACCTTTTCACTGAACTATTTTTCAGAATAAGATGGATTTATATTTCACCTTTCTATGGCTCAACTGTGGAACAGCGTTTCTGCTAATCCCTCCAATTACTACAGCGAGCAACCAAATGCAAACACCACTGATCTTCATCAATAACATATTCATGGAGAACTTCAGCATAGAAAATCATACAATTCAGACTGAAAGCGTGCGGGACCCCTGGGAGTGTTTTCGTCACTGCGCCAAACACTGCGATTGCATTGCGTTTCAAGTCAGTGGAAAAATGTGTGAGCTTCTGGACACGGACATTGATGGGGCCATCGGGAAGCGGGTGAAAAGACCAGGAACTGTTTTGTATCATGTGCAGCAAAACGGCATGAGGGTAAGTTTGAGTTCTTGTAGAGTAGTTTTCGAATAAGATTCGTAAACAAACTGTGAACAATAGGATCAGCTGAAACAGGAGCCAGCAAGGACTTTAAGTATCTACACGAATACTGTCTCCAAAGCTGGAAAACGTAAATGATCAAGTCAAAATTGGCTGAAAAGCCATTGATCATGATTTTTGGTGGGGACGAGTCGCTTCGAAAAATTCGCCTTATATGAAATGAAGAGTTTCTTTGAAAATATTTTCTGTTGCAACACTCATGTTTTTAAAAGACAAAGAAAAGAACAATGACCTCTTATTCTATTCAGTGAAATTTTAATTTTCGTTTTTTTGTCGTTCGTGTTCGGTTTCAGGAAAATAGTAGATGCCTGAATGGCTGTTGTCGATCAAACCCTTGCCTTAATGGAGGCACATGCACAGAGAATTGCGATGACGTCAAAGAAAAATACAACTGCACATGTCCACAGCATTACCAGGGAAAGAGATGCGAGATATTCCACCCAAGAGTCGATTCATGCCAATCTTACTTGAAGCTGAAACCAGAGTCGAAGTCAGGCGTGTATAAGCTTAATGACACGATTCAGAGTTATTGTGATTTTGACTCGGAACCCGGAAAAGTTTGGACTCTCATCGAGTCATTCTCTCTAGAAAATAAGGCCATTTACAAACGAAAACCTTTTTATTTCAACGTTCCGCGAAACGAAACAAGATTCAACTGGAATGATTATCGAGTATCTTACCAAGCAATGGTCAACATCCGGGACAACTCGACCCACTGGCGCGTGACATGCAATTTCCTGTCAGGCCTTAATTTCACCGACTACGCACGAACGACTCTCCAAGATACGGACATCCTAACGTTTGTCAACCAAGATAGCTGTCAGAAGTATGAGTACATTTCAGTTCGAGGAAGAAGTTGTACGAATTGCACGGGGATGCTTGTGCAGCGTGATAACGAACATATGCATACTGATTCATACTGGAGCAGAAGAAACGGTTGTTCTTGGGACCCAAGTACAGGTGCCCTGATGGGCGAAGATAATTTTGGATTTTATGACCTTACCAATCCTCAACATAAGTGCACTGAAAATTCTTTTTCCACCACGCAATGGTGGCTTGGTGCTGAGTTCTAAATCTGAGCCCACGCCACGATGGTTATATAGACGTGCGTCAAGAGGACGAAAAACAACGCAGCGGTCAAACGTTTGGCATGCGTAATTGGATCAACTCTGGCCAGTCCTAAGGCACCTTCTTTTTAACATTTAAATAAAAACTTTTAAAACAACTAATGTCACTTTTATCCTCCCCCCTCCAAAAAAAAGGCATGCATTTTTGCAGACATTGACGTTGAATCTTGTGGTTTTTTTTAACTTCTGTGAGACAACCTAGCTCTGAAAGCTTTCAGGCACGATGTCTAGCCAACAAATCGGACTGACCGTAAACTACTCACTTAGTGACTTCTGATGGTGACTTCTGCTCATGTTGTTGATTCGAGTCCCTGCGACCGACAATTTAAATGACTAAAGGGGTTAAGTTTCTAAAGAAACTGCGGTGCTACGTCGCTGGGAGAGTATAGCAAGTAATTTAGTGTTAACAACTGAGTTGAAAATGTAAATTGGCCACCGTAAAGAATTAAAGGCTGACGCATATGATGACTGCTCTTGTGACTCCTCTTAGCTGTAGAAACGTAATTGACTTTAGCCGACAAAAGTTATTTGTAGGATTACTTTCACGTGAACGATCAGACCAAACGATCAAAACTTTTCCTTCTGAAAAACAGCAAAGTCGAATGCCTCATTTGTGGCAATCGAGAGTAGAAAGTATTGTACATTTTCGTTTATTTGTCCAAATAAAAAAAAGATGTGAAATATGCGTCCTAGTGGTAAAGAAGAAAAGGAAGGCATGTCATTCGCTTGTGAGGATACGCGGTACAGTCCTTCCTAATTTTTGGAAACTGAGCTGAACAGTATTTTGGCTTTGAAGTTAGCTTTATTCAAACAAGAAATGACTTAAATTAGCGTTTTCACGTGTTTCATTTAAATTTGCAGGTTGCTGAAATATTAGCCTCAAGATAAGTAGCGGAAATTAATTCAGGTCACTCTGTTCGTAGGTCAGTAACAAAGTATGCTAATCGTGCCCTAAAATTTTCCACGAAACTGAAATACTAGGAAAAAATAATCAGAATATTTTAGCAAACAAACAAGATAGCTCGAGTTTCACTGTATTCTCTACATTCTTGAGTAAAGCGTCGTTTGATTACAAGGAAGATGTCGTTATCGCGTAAGTCGGAAGAAGAGCACAATTCGCCCAGCGATGAAGCCCTGGAGGAAGTAAACCAACACGTTAGAGAGGCTTTTAATATTCTGAAGCGAGAGACGAATAAAGTTCGCAAAGAGAAGGAGGCTTTTGACGAGGTGGCGAAGAAACTTGAGCACATCCACTTCTCAAAGATGCTGAAACTTAATGTCGGCGGCCACCGTTTCGATACCAGTTTGGAGACTATGAACAAAGATCCAGGTACTTCTTATAAAATTAACAGACGTTTTAACGAAATCAGTCCAGTTGGTCCTTCAATGGAAATATCATGGTATAACATCTAATGATATAAAATTATGTACTTGAACTACTTTCACTTTCGGCGGTTTGATAGAGGAACCTAAATCACAAACTACAAGTTTTGCCCCATAGAGAAAAGGCTCTGTTTGTGGACAAAATAGTTTCTGACGCTTTTTCATACATTTTTATTTAGTCTAGTATTTATAAACTTTGCTTTTGAGTATAAGTGTACTCGACTGTGAAAATATTTGTAAGCTAGTTCTGGGAAAATATTTCACCCCAACTTTCTTGTGAAAACTCCTCGTAAAGGGCAGCTATAGACACTAATATATGTTTCTATTCTCAGGGTCGATGCTGCACGCCATGTTTTCTGGAAGATTTGACACAAAACCTGGCGAGGATGGATCTTACTTTATCGATCGAGATGGAACACACTTCCGACATATCTTGAATTATCTTCGCACTGGAAAACTTATGCTACCGGATGACAAAATTGTGCGTAACGAATTACTAACCGAAGCCGAGTTTTACCAGATCGAAGGAATAATTGAAGATTTGAGAGCAAGGCCGTTCAAGACTTCTACGATCCTTTCATCAGAGCAACGACAACAACTGATCGACTTACTGAAGGAAACCATCGAAAGTGCAAGTGACGACTACGTTTTGTTATACCGCGCTTCCCAGAATGGTTGGACAGCTGCCAACTTTCACTCTTGCTGTGACGGCAAAGGACCCACAGTTACAGTAATCAAGAGTGGGAACTACGTGTTTGGAGGATACACTGAAGAACAATGGGATCAACCTGGTAAGTCCTTATAACTCTAACGCACTTTTCACTAACTTTTGTTGTAGTCTTTTGTTTTCTTCAAATAAAAAGTTGAGTTTCGAATTGCGTGACGTCTGTATGCTGGGAAGACGGAGGTAAGCCCAAAATTTCCCTCGCTATTCTAACTTGTGACCATTTTCCAATGAAAAGTCCCATTCCTCCCAAAATTAAACTAGCCGCAAAAATTATTTGATATAAATTTTGCCCGTCACGCAGAATCTGTTGTCATGGTTTGAATTATTTTTAGACAAAGGCACCATTGTTCGTTATCCTAAGAGACTTTACCTTCGGGTAGTTTATACCGCGCGCGGCAAGTTTAGAGTTCAGGAGAAAATGTTTGTATGAGGCAACGTTTCCGTTGGGACAGTTTCGAGGCCGAAGAGATTTGAAGAGAAAATGACGTGTGCAGTAAGGAAGGGGGGGGGGGG